TGTAGTTGTCTTCATTGAAGTCAACAAAGACTGTCCTGGATTTTTTCCTTTCATGTACAGAGCTTCTAAAATATAGAGGAAGGCAGTACCCATATAGCCTTTGTGCTCCACAAAGCCACCAGAGCATATTTCAATATTTCCTAATTTCCTAGCAGGCTTTCAAAAGCTAGTGATTTGATAGCAAAGCAAGGTTTTATTTTATTGTTTTTTTATACATCTCAAATTTTTAATATGCCATTTTTTTTGTAATTTATGTAGTTACTATTTAATAGCAACTCACTTTATCCTTAGAAACACAAAATATTGTGAAAGGAATTTTTAGAAGCAGAAGAATGAAATAGAAAGACTATTGAAAGGCAATAAAAGTACAGAATTTATTAACCTAACATAGCAGTATGCTGAAGTACTTAAATTTTAGCTTAAATAATATTTTTCCATTCAGAATAGAGCTGTAAGGGACTTTGGAGGTCTTCTATCTAAACCCCCTGCTCAAGCAAGAGACCATTATCATTACTCTATTTAAACAAGATTCTTAGAACCAAAACATAAATACCTTTAAACGTATTGATAAATTATTCAAACTATGTTCGGAAAGTTCATATGATTATATGGTTTATATTGTTAGAATTTTAAGAAGAACAAATATTACAGGGTAATAGAAAAAAGTAATATTACTTTATCAGATGTCGTGGGAGAATTTGCACAGAAAGTTAATATTTCAGAGTCGTATATAAACTTTTGTAATTATACTATATATCTTTACACCAACTGCAAAAAAAGGTTAAATTGCTTGTCACATGTTGGACATATAATAAAAAAAATATTTTAGACATAATGGGTGAAATTGGAAATATTCTACTGACTTTCACTCAGGCTTCCTATACCTTCAACGATCTCTGGAGAGCTCCCAGGATAGAGTTTTTTATATTCTTTTCTATATTTCCTTTTTACTATATTATTATAAATTTTGATACATTGTATTATATCAATACAGTGACATTCATACAATATAATTAAAGATAGTTGACATTCTCTTATTCAGATAGCTTAAGAGTTTTGAAAATATAGAAATATATTCTATCAATATTAATTACAGTTTAGATTATCAATATTACAAACACTAAAATAATTCAAAGTTGGGTTTAATACTGAAAGGAAAAATGAAAAAAAACTGCTTACATCAAAGTATTTTTACATAATAATAGTTTGGTGTTTATACTTAACTTTAAAATCTGTTATATAGTTACTTGGTTTACATATTAATGAAAGGAAAAAAGATGAATTTATTTAACTTTAAATTTTTTAACAAGAATTAAAGTACCAAAAAGTAGAAAAAGAGAAAAAGGAAAAAGAAATATTAGGTTTCTCCTCTTTGTATACCTGCTAATTTGCAATATTTGTAGATGTTGGAGCTCCTAATAACTCTTAAGTGATTATATCTAACATACTATATGATGTGTTATGTGTTCCCAATCCATTATTGTCAGAATTGTGTTTTCTAGTATACAGCAACATTTATTCTTACTACTGCAAGTATATTTCTCATTAAATTATTGTTTCCTATTGGTTTTTTTCTAAGATTATACCTAGTAGGAAAGGTTGTGTTTTCATTTCAAATATAAATTCCAAATTTTTCTGCATTTTACTGTATATGTCTTTCTAAGCTTTTTGCAGGTATTTTTTAACTTGTCCACCACATGTGATAAGACATTCCTTCTGTTTCATGACATGGTCAACATGTCACGAGGTGGCGCAGCAGTTAGAGTGCAGTACTGCAGGCCACTTTAGCTGACTGTGTTCAGCAGGTCAGCGGTTCAAATCTCACCGGCTCAAGGTTGACTCAGCCTTCCATCCTTCCAGGGTAGGTAAAATGAGGACCCAGATTGTTGGGGGCAATGTAAATATATATATACATTGCTTACTAGTGTACACTGCTTAGAGAGTGCTTGCACTTAAAGCGGTATATGTCTCATAAATAAATAAATTTGTCTATCTTAAATACTATTGATGGAATTGTATATCATCTATAAAACATTTTGTACCAATTTGGGTATGACTTGGCACGAATCTGACATATTTAGTCCATTATTCTTCCCATTACTGTATTGTAAGTGTTAAAGATTTCCATCCTTTTGATCATGTTTTGCTCGTTCTGTCTCTGTGTCATACCTCAGTAAATGCCATTGGTGGTCCAGGTTTTTTATTAGCATTTCAAATTCTGTTTTTGTTTTTATGTTTCTCATTCCTTCTTAAGATCTGATTTCATGCTTCTGACTGCTTGTAAATACATCAGACATAGTATATTTGAGTAAGGCTGTGTTTTTAGCTTATTCATGGAATCTGAGTGAATCATATTTGCATATGCAATTACATTGTTCTTGCTGTTAATTATCTCTGACATAAAAAGCATTAGTCAGGATACATTTTCACAGGAAAGGAGGGGAAGATTCCTTTCCTATTACGTTAGTTGAAACTCTTTCAATAAAAAGAGGCATATACAGTAACTGGCCCCTTTCATTATATGTAGTAAAAATACATATAAGCCCATGCATTTGGTGAAAATGGAAAGTTATAAAACAATCTGAATTCTGGTACTCATTAAATACATGGTTCCTATTGAACAGACTAATAACAACTGAAAGATGATTGCCAGGATGTCAGTTGTATATGTTTATTAACAGATTTAAAAAAAATCAGAACAGGTATTAAGGCCCTTTGGGAAAAGGAGGGCTTTTTTAAAAGGGAAGAAGGGAAAAATGACTTAAGCTGAAATCCTTTGTGCCTGCTTGCATGGAGTTGAAAGCTTTTGGCAGGGAACTCTTTCAGCCAACCCTCCCCCCCCCCAAAGAGGAAGCCCAAATCTAAGCAGGATTTTCATCCCGTCAATTGAGAGACAGTATGGGGTGACTCCGGGGAAGAGAGAGAAAAACCTTTGGAGGCCTGGCTCTGGTTGCACATGTCTCCCTTCTCAAGGACTGAAAATCCAGCTTGGATTTTGGCAGGGATGATTTTTAATTTCTGAGCAGAGAGGCAATGCAGTAAGGTAAGGAGTGGGTATGCCTCAGAAGGGTGTGGGGGGGTAGAGGGTCAGTGAAAGTCACACGCAAGTGTCTTTTTTCCCCAGGGGCTGAAAATCTTGCTTGGATTTCTGCAGGGAGGATTCTCAGGAGCTTAGGACAGAGATATTCATGTGTTTCCTGTGCTGGGCTTCCCAGGGTCTCCTCCACCTCCACCCCCACCCCCATGCTTCTGCGCTCCTTACCTGGGACTCACAAGGTTGGTTAACAACCACAGACATGGGTACCAAGATTATGGTTGTTGAGCGAAGCAGTCATGTAACATTTCACTTAATGACTACCTCACCCAACATCTGAGAGTCCTGTCCCAACTGTGGTCATAAGTCAAGGACTACTTGAATATATCCCAAACATATTTTTTCAAAAGGCAACTGGACTTTGTTTTTCCTTGAAGATGTTTCGCTTCTCACTGAACTGAAGAAGCTTCTTGGATGAGGAACGAAACATCTTCAAGGAAAAACAAATCCCAGTTGCCTTTTGAAAAAGCACCTTTAGGACAACTATGATCTGGATGACTAAGAATCTCCAGAGACTACCTGTATAGTTGTGACAAATTATTTTACAAAATGCCCTTCCAAGGAAAATTAATCACAGATCTTCAACACAAAACTATCTTGGCTATGATACTGAACATTATAAGACTGGTTTTGAAATAAAATTGTGCACAATGATGAACATGTAATTGCTAAAAAGTATAAACTTTTATTGAGATTTGAAACAGAACAAGTGAAAGAATATATGATAAAGTAGGCTAAAATTTTTGATTATAATAAAGATATCAGACAATGGGTGAATATGTGGTTGAAGGGACTGAAACACTACAGTATGTTGTAATCTTAAAGAGAACATTTATAAAATAATGTATTGTTGTAAATGAAACCAGAGAAAGGGTCTAGAATCTATAAAAGCATTTCAAATTTATGTAGGAAATTCAAACAGGAATTTTATCATGTTTTATCATGCTGAACATGTAAAACACTAAAAATGTTGGATTCAAATACATACACTGATTCAGAGGATTTTAAAGATTAATATACAATTGAGACCAGAAGTTTTCCTTTTGGTACTAAAGCAGCTGGAAAGGGCACGGAAGTTTGTTCTTGTGTGTGATAACCACAACTAGATTATTCAATGCACAAAAGTGGAAAGACTTGGCAATATCTACAATGAAGGAATGGTTGATGAAGATGATAAAACTTGCTAAAATGGCCAAATTGAATTCTTTGATTAGAGAAAAGGTAATATGTGCATTTATTGCTGACTAGTAACCTCATATGGGCTTTTGGCATAAAACAAAAAAAATGAACTTATAATTTATGGTTTTGATTATTAGATAGGACAGATTATAGAAGGAAAAGAGGCATGATGTAAATTAAGGGAAAAAGGTAAATTTATAATTGTACTTTTAACTGCTGTAAAGATCAGAATTTTTTCTTTCTTTCACTTTTAGCCTTCTCTTTTATTTTTATTTTTTTTCTTCCTTACCCTGTATTATTTATAGTAGTTTTTATCTTAAAGACTTAATACACACACAGCACATGCACACACACACATGCAAAGGTTTTATTTTTCAATGTCTCTTATCACATTATAGCAAAATAGGTGATGCCCTTTTGCACCATGAACATTCGCATATTCTTTCACCTATGTATGAGTTTCAAGTTGCCTATGCATCTTACAACTTTATTTCAAAATACCTAAAGAAAACAATTGAGCCTAAAAGTAAGTAAATTTCATGTGAAACTTAGACTATATTTGAAGTTCTTATAAACTAATGGTTGTAGTATAGGATGGCAAAACACTATTAATGTAAGCATATATGTGAACAGAGTACAGCTGGTATAAATCCATAAAATTGGTCTCCTTTCATTCTGTTTTAGTTTATGGCTTAAAATAATATGGAAACAAAATTCATAGACTCACCTCATCAACATTCTCAAATGCATTGATCACATCATACGGCAAACAGGAGAGCAGGTCAATTACAAACCAGGTCTTCAAGTAATTCATTCGGATCAGCTTTGGATCAGAGATCACCTCTCCAGCAGGCCCAACAAATGTGGTGTGAAAATTAAGCACAATGTCTACCAAAAAAATGACATCTACGATGCTGTCCACTACCAGCCAGGCCACATTGTTCTGTTTGGTTTTAAATGAGACGTTGTAAGGGACTAAAATTGCAGTGTAGAAAGTTAAAATCAGAATCACCCAATCCCAAGTAGTCTTGAAAACACAATAATGTAAAATGATATGTGGTGGGGTCTTTGGTGCTTCTTGCTTGTATTGTGGGAGGATTTCAGAGCCCAGCTGCAAAACCTATAGAAATGGGGGGGAGGGGGAGAGAGATGAATGAATGAAGAGGAAAATCATTTTCTAATTGAAACCTAAACACCAAAACACTTTAATATTCCCATATTGTTAATTTACATGGACCATCTTTCCTAAAAAGTTACTTTCCCTATAGTGTTTGCCTGATAAATCATCAGCATTGCTATTTTTAAGCCAGTGAAATGTACTTTTTAAATATCTTTAGAGAACTGGAACTTATGGGAAACTATTTATATATGGTTTACTTACCTACTTACTTCCAACATGGGAAACTATTTGTATATTATTTATTTACCTACTTACCTCCAACATATCTATACCATTTAGTCGAGCAACTCTAGGCAGTTTACAGGAGGGAGAAAAACAAAATAAGAATGCAAGAACTTATGTCAGAACTGATATCTAACCTTGATTTTATCTGTGTGTAAATAAATACATACATTAAAACCTGTGTCCTCCTCAATCACTCTTAGGCAATGCATCTAGATCACAATACAGGCAAACCTAAATGCCACAGTGAGAAAAACATACATTTTGATGAAAAAACAGTTAGAAGAGGAAAGAAGATCTGTCAGTCCTTTGAGATGATCAGATAAGGCCTTTCATGGCATGGGGTGGGTTATCTGAGGGACCGCCTCTCCCCAATTTCATCTGCCTACCCCTTTAGGTTTGACAGAGACAGAGAATTAAATTTGGCAGGTCCCAGGAGGTGGGCCTTCTCTGTCTCAGTGCCCACCTTGTGGTACCTTCTCTCCCTGGAAGTGAGATTAGCTCCATCCCTTTCAACATTTCACAAGTCCCTCAAGATCTGGCTATGTTATCAAGACTGCGAGTCCCAGGAGACTGAGAAAAGTATGCAATGGTTCCCTTACTGTAGTTAGTATTATTCTCTCCTGTTTTATAGTTATTCTTTCATTGTGACTGTTTTTGTGTATTTATGTTTTTTAATTAAGTGCTGTACACTTCCCAGAGTCACTTTCATGTGAGAAGGAAGGAAGGAAGGAAGGAAGGAAGGAAGGAAGGAAGGAAGGAAGGAAGGAAGGAAGGAAGGAAGGAAGGAAGGAAGGAAGGAAGGAAGGAAGGAAGGAAGGAAGGATATTAACTGTCTGATAGTGGCAATAGGTCATGGGGCTGGAGTTTGTGTGGAAATTGCATACTGACATGTAACATAAGATTTGGGGCATAAGATGTCTTGATAACATTGCCATTTCTCAGGAGCGCTCTAATTCAGGGCAGCTGTTCTAGGGAATCAGATATTCTAAGCATCCCCTCATGCATCTAAAATCCAGAACAATACCAAAAGTATTTCAAAAGAAGAAGAAATCATGTATGTTGGCTATGCATTTCTGGCTTTTTGCATATTGTGTACTGTTATATGAATTCTGAAAGAATCACATCGTTAAACAAGAACAATTAAAATTGTCTAAAATAGTTAAAAATGAATGGGTATAGCAATATAAGCAGGGTTTCTTCTTGTTCCTGGATTCCCAGCCATCTATTGAAGGTTACACTGAATTTCATAAATCTATTACAAATATAGAATGTATATTCCAATTCTCTGAGTTGGCATTATTCTTATACTAATATTCTTTTGACAGCTGAACTATAATGCAGATCAAGTCACTTATGGCTGTATTTCATTTTCTCACTAATATGAATACATTAACTTTAAGAGAATCCAAGCAGGAGTGGATTTTAATCAAATCTATAATTTAAGAAAGAGAGCTTTGCATCTGAATGTTTCCGCTAAGGAATATTGCCAAATGGCCTAATTCAGCAACATTACAGATGTAAACTGTTTGAAAATGATGCAGAAGTCCTTTGGACCTTGCACAAGCACAGTACTTCTTTGCTATTCATTAAAAAAACATTGTTTTGTTCAGGCTTCTGCACAATCTTGAAAATAGATGCTCTTGCTGCTTTAAGGAGTTGAATAATAATTTCACTCTTAAAATAGCCATAACTTGCTTAAAAGCCTGAAAAAAGATGGATGGCTTTGATGGCTAGAGGAGAATTGTTATGTTCATATCTTTGTGAGGTCTGAAGCACTTCTTCCAAGTCATTTCCAAAGTACTGTATGTTAATAGGAACTGACCAGGTAATAGCACCTGGCTAATTGGTCTGGATTTGGAAGATAAGCAGAATTCTTCCCACTTAGTGCTTGGATGGAAGATTAAATATAATTAATATAAGCTCTGTTACCAAAATAATATTCTGATGCCCTTAAAGATATCAGAAATTAAGCTTGATTCAAGGAAAAAAATATTTTTAAAACAAAGTATTGAGAAAGTTGTAGATAGATAAAGTTGATGAAATTCTCAAAACAAAACGGAAAAGTGGGGAATTTGAAGACAAAGGCAAGAAATGAATCAGTATATGGTTATGGTAAAATCAAAGAGGATTTGAAAGATAGAAAAGTATGGAGAAATATACTGAATGATATAAACTAGATTATACTATCGTAATCATAAAATAAATTTATTTATATGTTCATTTCCCTTAATTTATGCCTTTAATTTCTTTTGCTTACTATATCTTATTTCATTTCAGTATTTTGTATAATTTTTTTCCTCCAAGGGAATTGCAAGATGAGTATGTATTATTACTGCTGATGCTATTATTAATAAATATTTCTTTTGATGTCCTCTTCTCCATTGGGTTTTCTTTGCAACATCTGTTGATTCCTGATGAACCCTATTAGAATTTGGCTCAGTGATGTTGAAATAATGAGTGCAATATTTAACTGGCAATTAATATGTGCAGAAACATAATCTTGACCTTTATTGTTTATAATTAACTCACCAGCTGTCCTGATTTAAATTCATATGAAGTCTTGTCAGATGTACCATCAGTTAGTACATAGTTGTCAAACAAAAAGCAAAAGGCCCCTTCAAGTGAGATGTCACATATGAAAAGAATTTACAACAGATCTTAAGACTTACTGCATTCAGATTGAACTGAGCAAATATGCCCAGTTCAAAAACCCATACATGCGTCCAAATTTGCATGTAAAGGATGTTTAATGAAAACTATGCTGTATGTTACTAACTGCAGGCAAAGCAACATTGCAGCCATATTTCTCCAGCTAAGTAGGGTACTGTTTTGTCTGAGTTTTTTTTCTAGTAGCAGTATGAAAAGCATAGCTGAAGCATCATGGGGAAGGGAAGGCAATGTTTCAACATCCCAAAAAATCTGTTGTTATTCATAAGTTGCTCACTAAATAACACCCACATTTTGCCAAAGCAGGAAACATCTATTAACATATGCCAAAAACAGAATGCCAAGATGATAACAGGGAAGACAGCCTATATGTTCTCCCACACAAAAAGACAGTATCATATTTCCATTAGGTGCCCAAAATACATCTCATAACATAGTTTATGCTATAACACAATTCACTCTCAGTTCACAAGCTTAGGCAGAATGAATCCAGAACGACATGAATTAAAGCCACAAAGGGAATAACCAGGAACAAAGAGAAAAGAATCACAACCTTAGCCCTATTAGTATTGTAATTCCAGTGATCAGCGGTCTGGGCACAGAACCACTCAGTTATAGTAGAATCTAGAAAAGATTCTATAAAGAGCAGATAGTGGTTCTGAATGCAAAATATTTATAACTTGCTTCCATGTTGGCAAAAAACAAGTATGCAGAAAGAGGTTAGCTATGGAAGATTGTACATAAAACAGCTTTTTCAGGAAGAATCAATGCAGCTTGTCTGTTCATTTGATAATAAAAAAGAGGCAATGGAATATCTCTACAGCCTCATAAATGCAATATTCTGGCCTAACAAGGAATTGTACCTACTTGTGAAATTTTGACTCAATTGTATTCTCTATCAGCTACTCCAAAGGTTAACATGTGAGTTCAATGGCAGAAACAGCAGCATACATCTATGGCAAAACTAAATTTAAATCTACATTTTTCACAGTAGACTTCTTTAACTTTTATAGTACAAATAGCATGTGGGGCACATGATCTGTTACTTTAAATTACACTCCTATAGAATGCATTGAGTAATACACCAATATGTTTGAATTATAAAAGCATTTGTGTCAGAATTGTTTTTATTCACTGAATAAATTTAAGCAGTTCTTTTATTGAAGCATTTTAAAACATCAGTATAATGAACCAGGGGGTATTGAATGTTGGGACCTAGTCTTACCCAGCCTAAAATCTATGGTCATTCATTTATGGTAAGAGACAACTCCCATCTTCAGCTCCAAACTGGTACAGAGAAAAAGATAATCAGCCCAGTCTTCAGCTGGAGAGGAAAAAATATGCTCTCTTAGTTACAGAGGGCTTAGTATCATACAGAGAACCTCAGAATCCAAGCCTGTCTTTCAATGGAGCCCAGCTCCATCTGTAAAACTGTTCATTTTGCTATAACAGGCAGGTCATGACTGTGTTATGGAACTTAAATCTCCTTGACTTGTAATCAGTTAACTCTCAGTGGATTCCCCAACAACAGATAACATTTCTGAGGGAAAGCTATTGGTTCCAAGAGAGTGGATGCTCTTTAAGTTATTATAACATTCATAAAATTCAGATAGAATAGAAACATGACCCAGACTTTACCTCTGCTAGACGGGAGTGCTTATGAACATTCTCTCCTTTCTGTACACTGGGAGCAAGCTGCTGCAGGACACCTCGGCTGCTTGTTAGTGCACGTGTCAAACGAGCAAACTTTCCCCAACCTAAAGAAATTGCACAATAGTTAACTACCACTCCAGTTGAACAGAATTTGAACATAAAAGCCTTTAACCTAAAACAATGCAGTGAATCTACCCTGAATTAAGAAAAATACTAGCAACAAAGATTGCTTATCATTCATCCCCTTAGGGCAACAATAAGTAATGGGCAGATTTTGAACATTTTGAATGTGAAGATGTGGTCATGGGCTTTCTCATGCAGCTACCTTTTTAAAGGGAATCATTCATTATAAAAAAATTATAAACATTTATTTCAAATTGTCTTCCTACTGTGTAGATAATTCAGTTTAGCAGTTACCCTGTGAGCTATTGCATGTTTCTAACTTGCCTCACAACTGGACATACTGTATATGTGAATTTCTATGGAATTCTCAGTCATCCAGATCATAGTTGTCCTAGTGATGCTTTTTCACGAAACAACTGGACTTCCTTGTTTTTCTTTCAAGACATTTCGCTTCTCACCCAAGAAGCTTCTTCAGCTCTGAATGGATGGTGGGGGAATGGAAGGATTTATACTCCTTGCAGACAGCTAGTCTAAAAGACTGAAAATGACCAGCTGTCTGCAAGGAGTATAGATCCCTCCATTCCCCACCATCCAGTCAGAGCTGAAGAAGCTTCTTAGATGAGAAGCGAAATGTCTTCAAAGAAAAACAAGGAAGTCCAGTTGCCTGGTGAAAAAGCACCTTTGACACATGTATATGTGAATGTACAGTGTTTTCAGACTGCTCACATAACTACAGATTAAGTAAATAAGTAAGCATCGTTCATTCGAATGAAAAGTTGCTGTCTTAGACTGTTGGCGCTGACCATGGTACTGAATTGCACATGCAGTTTTTGTTTAAATTTTTTCCCTGTACTGTTCTTTTTGCTCCCTTATATTAGTTTTATTTTCTTGTGATTTTTTTGTTTATTTGTTTTAGGCATTGTTAGTTGTTATGCACTGTTTACATTGTTGTGGGTAAATTTTTTTTATATGCTATATATTTTATTTTACAGAGCAGCTCACTTGAATGATTTTTGCTTTGTTTTGTTTTGGAGGGATTATATTTTGTTTTGTTTTGTTTTGGAATAATGGAAAAGTGGAGTGAAATAAGTCTATTTTATTACTAATGTTTCATATATGCACAACCTGCTCACACACATACACACAAACTGGGTGGGTTTTTTTCCCTATTTAATTTTTTTAAGGGTTTTTTTGCTCTTTAATTTTTAGGAGGGCTGCAAATATAAGACAATATTTAAAGTAAATGTGGCAGCCTAGTATCTTTGTACTTTCATCCGACTGAGTCCTTGAAAAGCATTGCTTGGTCTAGATAAGAGATATTGCAGAAGTACAAAATTAGATATTATCATGGATGTAAAACAGCAAGAATGAATGGAGGAAACTCAAATGGGAGGCCAGAATCAGAAACATTTATAATGAAACCAGGATTGAGGTTGTACCACTTCATCTTAGAATGCGGAATTCTTGTTTACATCCTCTTAATCTTATTGTAACGCATCAGGAAAGAATCATAAGGAGAGACAGAGCTATCACTGTTCCATAGAAGATAGACAGGGACTGATTACAGGTAGTCCTTGACTTACAACTACAACTGAGCCCAAAATTTCTGTTGTGAAGCGAAACATTTAAGTGAATATTGTCCCATTTTACGACCTTTCTTGCCACAGCTGTTAAGTGAATCACTGCAACTGTTAAATTAGTAACAGGGTTGTTAAGTGACTCTGGCTTCCCTATTGAGTTTGCTTATAAGGAGGTCACAAAATTTAATCACATGACGCTGGGACACTGCCAGTTGCCAAGCAGCCGCATTTTGATCACGTGACCATGAAGATGCTGAAATGGCCGTGTGAAAAATGGTCATAAGTCACTTTTTTCAGTAGTGTTATAACTTTGAATGGTCACTAAATAAACTGTTGTTAAGTCAGGCAAGATGAAAATGGAATGAACTTTTGCTGTGACATGAAAAGCCAATGTCAAGAAAACACTTCTTTTTGAAATTTATTTTATGGAATGACATGTTATTAAAAGCAAAAAAAAAAAAATCAAGAAGGATGACATAAAAATTTGATTTGGTCCATGAGTTCCTGTTACAGAGTGTACCCCTGTTCCAAAGAATTCTTCAGTGCCTTTCAGGCCATTTTGCAACCTGACCCTGGCCATATTTATTCTGAAGTAAATCCTGCCAAGATTTTACAGGACTTGTCTGTAAGTAAATGTCCAGAGTAATATCTTTTCCTTAATTGAAAAAAAAAGGCTTTCACATTCATGTCACACAAAAGTTGATTTTGAATCTGAAGAAAGTTTCAAGATCAGATTATAACATGCTTTAGGTGCAGCTTAAAATAGTGTATGGGTAAAAGATGGCCAGAAATTCTGTGGAGTAAATATGAACCCATTGTGTGAATCTCAGCTATACTTGGACATCAGAATGTAGCATACTGTTTTGTGAAATTAAAAATCTGTTCAGATGTTTCCATTCATAATACCATGTAACAGTTGTTATCAATAATTCCTTAAAAAATTCTAATCAATAGGGAAGGATCTTGGCTCACTCGAAGAGCATGTTCCCAGTCCTCCACTCTCCTTATCTCCAAAAATGTTAACATTTTTGACATTGATCATTTGTTTGTTTATTTGTTAGTTTATTCATTTGTTAGGTTATTCAGTTATCCAAAAGATTCTTGATGGCTTACGAAGAATAAATAATAGAATTAAAATAGTCATTTTGGTATAGTAGTTAAGGCATCAGACTAGAAATTAAGACATCATTAGTTCTGGTCAAATCTTAGGCACAGAGACAGTTGGGTAATCTTAGGCCTGTCATTTTCTCTCTGCCCTATGAAGGAGGCAATAGCAAGCCACTTCTGAAAAATCTTGTTATGAAAACTGCAGTCCAGGCATTCTCTGTGAATCAGACATGATTGAAAGGAGGAAAAAAATGTCTAAAAATCAAAGTTATAAATAGGACAATAAACAACTTTAAACCAAAATACCTTAATTTTCTCAAGTAAAAATCTTATTCTGCAATGTCACTAAGGCTACATGTTTATCCTAAGTGGCTAATTAGAAATTATCTTATTTAATGGTTGATCTAAGTAGGCTTAACATTAAAGAGCCATTCATGAAATGTCATTCAATGCAGGTTGAACATAATCTTTTGAACAAAAATTAGTTCCGAACCCAGCTCTGACTACAGGAATTCACCTTATAACCAGTCAACATTCATCCAAATATTGAAATTAGTATGTATTTGTTAGGATTCAGCCACTCAGTCTTCAGTTCAATAATACTGCCAGCACTCAGCGTTAAGGAAGTGGCACTATAGCTACCCATAAACAATTCAAGCAAACCTGAAACACTCTTTCTAGAATGTCCTTATAGAGGAGATTTTGACATGTTTTTGTCTAGAATGGAGCAAACAGCTCAATCTAAAGTGTGGGATATTGAACCAGGTATCAGTAACATGGTGCCTCTAGTTTACCTGGTATATACAGTATGGTAATCTCCAAATTATTATTTTTTCTAAATTAACGCATGCCAAAATTTCACAAGGTCTTGCCAAATCTTCTTAGATTTCAGTATTCTTGCTAGAAATATCCCAATATTTTCTCATTTATCGTGGTTTTCTTTGGATAATAATATAAAAGTAAATTTCTTCAATTTATAGTTGATCGTATTCATTAGTTTACGTATCTCCCAAGTGTTGGGAGATTAGACAATATTATGTTTGCATTGATTGGCACCAGGTTTTTGTGCTTACTGTTTTAATTGAGTGTATTTTACAATTTTTAAAATGATTTTATTAGGAGCTGTTGAGATTTGTCTGAATGATGAGTAGCCGTATAAATGTTTTAAATGAATAAATAACATCAGGTAGCTTTTCAAAGCCAACCAATTCATGTTTTATGTAACAACAGAAACTATAAATAGAATATGATTTATTTAAACGTTAGACTTTTATTGTGTCTGGAATGGATAATGCCTTAGAACAAACAAGCATATTGTTTATGGGGAAGGCAGTCTATTTTTATCCTTTGCTCATATCATCTCTAAATAATAGATCCCTGTCTTTTTCTGTCAAATATCACGCCTTACTTTTGTGATCTATATGTGCAATGGTTTCTACTTTGACAATAGCATTCATATGTAGTATACAACAATGAATATTTGTATAGAAATTACAGATTTATGCTAACTGCCACTAATAATTCCATTCAAGTGTCACAGAAAGTGCTAACCCTACTGATTGCCTAAGCCTTACTGCTAGGGCACAATTAACCTATAGCTCCAGGGCCATATATGATTCACAATGTGTGACAGAATAAAACAAGATTAAATATTTGGGGATTGCCCTATTTTACTAGAGTATAATTTGACCTCACCTGGATTATTCATTGCTGGAAGATGTGAGAAGGGCATAGTCTTTAGAAACTATTTTTCAGAATAGAAGTGTCGCATTTATAAAATGAATTTATTATTGTTATGAATAACTTAAGGTGGTAACCATACCTAATACTCCTCCCTCCTCCTTTTTCCCCCACTACAACAACTCTTTAAGATGGGTTGGGTTGAGAAAGAATGATTGACCCAAAATCACTCAGCTGGCTTTCATGCCTAAAGCAGGACTAGAACTCACAATCTCCCAGTTTCTAATCTACATAGCAAATGATCTAATGACCTCAGTTGTTTTTAGTTATCTCATAATTGATCCTGCTTATAAAAAAACTGCAGGAAAAAAAATAATGTTATATGGGGCTTCAATGACTGGATAGCCTAACACAGGAGTGTCAAACTGCCAGCCCACGGGCCGGACGCGTCATCAGGAAACCACACCCACCCCATTGCCAGCAATGGTAAAAAAGTTCCGATACGTTGCACGATGTCACGTGATGTTGCGAGTTTGACATGTCTGGCCCAAGAGAAACACAAAAATAGTCACAAGGGAAATGCATTGGAATTAGATCTGTTGTAGGGAATGACCAGGAAATGTAATTCTGTAGTTTCAATAAATAATCTCAAGGTCCCAGAAAGGCAGATGTAACTTGAAAAGGATAGTGCACTGTTGCCTAGGCTGATAGCTTTTGAATCTGCTGATCAAGGCTCCAGGTCCTTGATCTGCAAGAAATATCATCAGAAATTTTTCATGGCTTTGCCATTTGTTTCATCAATTGTTAACATCTGAAAGAAAAGAAAGGCCTGGTTGATGTGGTCTTGACAGATTATTATTATTATTATTATTATTATTATTATTATTATTATTATTATTATTATTATTATTATTATTATTATTATTATCATAATATAGAGCAAATGCCAGAAGCAGTGGTGTTTAACCTTCAGAGTCAGTTTGCACTAGCTTCACTAGCTTCACTCATATTTTTAACAGACCTTCTAAAACCAAAACATCTATAAAAGAGTATTATTCCATTTTGAAATGCAAAACAAATTATCTTTCATATGCAACATAGAAAGCAAATAGCAAACCTTTGCATGAGTCATCCTCAATAGGTTGTTTGAAAGCTGTGATGTCACTGAAAGTGCAAAGAAACAAAACAACTTTGTCTTGTTCATTTCGAATTGGAGCAATTTTCACAAAGAACCAAACAGGAGTCCCTGGAGAAAAAGCACCATAGAAAAAACTGGTTAATGACATAAAAACTATGCAGCATTCTACTGTAGCATTGTTTTTACAAACAAAAGAAACAAGAGTGTTTGCAAAGAAAAAAGAAAAACAAACAATGCTGCAAGACACTAGTTTCCACTACAGTAGAAATAGGCAACGCTGGAAAGGTCATATATATATTTAACATAGCACATTTTCAGACTATCTGTAAAACTATAATAGAAAACATGTTCAAAGCTTGGCAGAATAATAAATGAAATTCTACCATTTCAAGTTGTTTAGTGTGGTTTGATTTTGCATAAATTCAGCCTGCAAAGGGATTTAGTGATTCCACAGTTTTAATTTCAAGTTGTTTAAAAAAACATACTTTCATATGCAGTTATGCATGAGTAGAGTTTTTTAAACATTAAGCTTCTGAGGATATTTACAGAGACAGAGCTATATAGATATAAAGTGCAAAAAACTGCTTTGGAAAAAAGGAATAATTAATGTTTTGCATATCATTTCTCCACTGATAAAATCAAGGAGAAATGGGAAACTGATCCAAAACAAATTCTAAAATCACTCCCAGCATAAGAAATTGGTTTTCATGGAAGAAATACACATATCCCAAAGAAGCTGGATAGCCATACAGCACAGAGCTGGAGAAAAGACTAAGGCAGACAAGGCACTGCTTTCGTGAATGGTACTAGTTTAGTCTGAAAGCCAAGGGGAGAGTGTCTGTATATTTCTTCCCATGGAAAATGTATCTCTGCTCAAAGAAAAATGTATCTTCATTTAACAAATTAATATTTTAAACAAAATAGCCGACGTTTTGACTTCTCCTTGAAATACCCATACAACCTCTTTCATTTTTCCTCAAGTTGAGGAGCAGTGATTTGATCCAAAATGATTCAAGGAGCTGAGAGTGAACTAAAATTTGCCATCTTTCCAGTTCCACTCCAGGACCTTAGACATTATAACACATTGTCTCTCAGTTGTTGTTGTTGTTTAATGGCATGATCCAGGAAAAGGCATATTAGTTGATTCCCCTCTCTTTTTCAGATTAAATTTCTGTAAATAAGAGGATATTCTAGGGCAACATGAATTTGAAGGATGTATGTATGGGAGAGGCCTATATAGTGTAGTCATGCTTCGAGAAAACCACTGAAATAAGAAAAATCATGCCTACTGTAATGTTAAATCACAGTGGTTTCAATGGCTCTGTGTATGATTGATTTGAATCTTATTTTCATGAAAACAACTGCAAGTTTTCTCACTGAAAATTTGTTGGTTGTTTTGAATCTTCCAACATAAAAACCCAAAACATTACTGTTGGAGTTGCAAGGAAAGTATTATCATATACAAAGCTAAACTTAGCTACCCTATGAAATCAGGTCAATAATTTATACTGAGTGGCTAATACCTTGAACAGAGTTTTCTCACACTACAACATTTGCTTGAAGATACTACATATAAAGATTTTCCCAGTGGCACAACTGCTTTCAACAGGATCTTATTCCTGCCGTTCAGATGATCAACAAAGGAATCAGAACATAAAGTCATAACTCTATATATACATATACAAAAGTTTGTTTGAGACTAGAATAGGAGACAAGAAAAGGGAATGTTCATAAGGGAAATTACATTTCTGTCATAGCACTTTCACCTCTACTAAAAATGATTTTCAATCACAACCACAGACTGCAGAAATTCAGGTCATAAAAGACCACTGCTGAAATACAACTGTTGAAAAGATTTTTGAGCCAAACACACACACAGCGAGGGCTATGTATATTCTGTGGTAAACAGATGGGATTTCTTCACTATCCTAATTCTGAATAACATGTATAAATTAAGTCAGGGCTTTTCAACCAGTGGTATGCGTACCATTGGTGGAACGTCAGCACCTGGCAGGTGGTACGCTTACGATAGGTTGAAAAGCACTGTAAAAAAAATGTAAAAAAAGTGTAAAAGTGTAGCATGGGGATGAGCTGAAGTGGCATCAATGCAGCAAAGGCCTGTGGGAGAGCCACCTGGAGCCGTGGTGTTTCCGGGGCTCCGCTGAGCGCCCACGATCCATGGCAGGTTCCAGCTGACTGGTGCTTCCGGAAGCTGCACGCAGCCTGGGGAAAGGAGTCAGTTGCAGCTACACCGAAGACAAAAGGAAGAGAGGATAGACATGCCCACGGGATGTGTACATTTGGCCCAGGGACGCCCTGGAGACAGCAAGGTGCTGACCCACCCCAGCTCACAATCAAAGGAAAACCCTGAATCCAGTGGGCCAGAAGGCAGCCCACCACCACACCCTTCCATTTCCTTCTCGCCCCCTGGGCACAAACGCAATTGCAGCTCCTCGCCATAGCTGGGCAGGACTTGCAAGTACCTCCATCCTCAAAACGGTGCTCCTCCAGCGGTCCCACCCGCTGCCATGATGGCAGCCCCAACTAAAGGCTGCATGCTCCAACTTCGCCCTGCCAAGGAAGGGGGCAGCAGCTGAGATTACAGCAGATCTGCAGCTTGTCCGGGGCACTCAGAAGCTGCCCAACTTTTCTCTGCAATTTCAGAATTGGAAAGCGGAGGGACAGTACTGTGTTTGCAGGCCTGGCAGCATATGCTGGAAAGCCTCCTGCTCCCCCCCCCCACAGCTATCTCCTTTGGAGCCATCCTGATGCTGACGGGCCTACTTGGCATAGATCCGCCAGCTTCGTCCTGCAAAGCGCGGCTCACCCGACGTTCTTGCCTACCACCATGCCGGCAGGCCCGTTGGAATTAGGATGGCTCTAAAGGAGGTAGATGCCAGGGGCAGGGGGGAAGCAGGAGACTTTCCAGCAGGTGCCACTAGGCCTGCAAACACAGCGCTGCCCCTACGCTTTCTAACTTGAAATTCCAGAGTAAAGTTGTGCAGCCTCTGAGCACTCCTGACAAGGTGCAATCGGATGTAGTCTTGGCTGCCGCCCCCTTCCTTGGCTGAGCAAGGCTGCACCACTCAGCCTTTAATCCGGGCTGTCGGCATAGCGGCAGGCAAGAGTACCAGGGAGAGCCGCTTTGCAGGACAGAGATACTTGCAAGTCCCACCCCAGCTATGGCAAGGAGCAGCGACTATGTCTGTGCTCAGGGGCGAGGAAAGGAAATGGAAGGGTATGGTGGCTGGGCTGCCTCCTGGCCCACTGGATTTGGGGTTTTCCTTTGATTGGGGGTATATGGCATGACCCTGGCCGAAATGCAAATCTCTCTCTAAGCAGGGATTGGGAGGCTGAAGGCCTCTATCTTTGTGGCCATGCAGTTCTGAAATTGATGGGCTGCTGGTGAGGAGGAGAATCAAAATAGGGCAAAACAAGCATAGTCCACCATGGTTTATTGATTGCAAACTTTTCCTCGGGTTTTCCTATCCCTTCCTGGGCTATTAAAATCATATTGGCAAGGTCTGTACTGAACACTTGGCTGCCAACTAGTCAACCAGATTTTGGCTTAGCCCCTTGTGCAATCCCAGGCCACATTCTGGAGGTAAGAATGTAGTAACAGAAGAGAGCTGCAAAATTGATTTGTTATTTATTCTTGCCTGTAGCAGCAATAACTACATTGTTTGACGACTTGCTAGCAACCTGCAGGCCGTGAACTTTCCTTTCCCCCTTGGAAAAAGAATTCAGAAGTGCTAGATTTATTTTTCCTGCTAATTACAATATACATTGTTAGTTTTTTAAGGAGCTTATGAGAAAAAGATGTATCTGAAAATTAAAATTAAAGGATGTATGGATTGAGTTGTGAGACAGGAAAGGGAAGTACATGGACTTATGCACTTCCAGTTGCTGACAGGTGTGCCACTAATATTCTGACTGGATACATGCATGCTCTCAGGGCCCAAAGATTATCTTCATTCTTCATAGGGCGGAATTGTGGATTAACTAAGTTTTTCTTGGTTCTGATTTTAAGGTAAGTATCCTGAACTATGGAGGCCTTTGATCTTCTTCTTAAACACATAACAATAAAATAATGAGAACTAAAGGCTCAAAGGGAAGACAGATTAGAAAGAACAAGACCTTTTGGGGTCTTCAATTCCCTTCCTGTTAAGAGTTCCTTAATGAGGTTTGATCTTCCTTCCTAACATCAATAAAGATGCTTTTTCCAGAAAATATGTGAAGAGCTGTAATTAGTGATTTAACTATGTTTTAATTTGCATATAATGTATGTTTAATTGAGGAGGGCTTGGAGAGGTAGAAGTAGCCAATATGGAGGCTGTGCCTTGCCCTCCAGATCTCTGTCTCCCCTGCAGATCTCTGAAGAGGAAGAGGGGGTGGCAGGGGAGATGTGTGAGGAAAGACTGTCCAACAAGCCAGCATCCTTACCACACACAACTGGAAATGGGAATTCCCTTTCAAGAAGGGCCAGCCTCCCTTGTGCAGGACCTGGGAGCACTGCTCCCCTGCCACCTCCTCTTGCTCTCCAGAGATCTGTCAAGATAGAAGTTGGACTTGGAGGAAACTGCTTCCTGCAAACGTCCTCCACCTCCTGCTTTGCCAGGAGGGGGCACAGGACAGGAAAACACCAATGATGTCTGAGATTGGGAAAAGAACATCTCTTTAGTGTGCTATCCACACACATACACACACACACACACACACACACACACACATACACACAAACATTCCAAGATTGGAGACTTGTTCCGTCTCGAGTCAACTGTGTCCAGTGAGTGGCATCGAGCAGGCCACGCCCACCTGCTAGGCAACTGGTGGTACTTGAATATTGCCATATCCTAAAAGTGGTACAATCTCTGAAAAGGTTGAAAAGCCCTGAATTAGGTCACAGATTCTATATACCTGGCATTGTTTTGCTAGTTTACAGAGTTGAGATCTGCCAGAAAAACATTGGATTGAAGGTGAACTCAGGGAGCTCAAAAAAATGCTCTAGAAAGAGGCCAAGAATTATCTTTTTTTCTGGCTTAGATTAAGATCCACACCCAATATAAATTTCTGACTTATTGGTTCATAAATCTGCCTCATCTTCAAGCTCTTTGACTTAAATCATATTTTTAAAGCTCTATCGTGGATCAGAAGCTCATGATGATGTTTGGGAATTAGGGCAGCTGAAATAAACCAAGCTATTTCTGATTTTTGAAGAAAACAACTTTGTTCTAAGCTATTTTTGAGCCAAAAGCTGAAAGCTCCAAAATATTAGGCATAAGCCAGGAATGCTGGGTTTAGAAGTCACACTCCAGCACCCAAACCTACTGCATGCTGAGTATAATGGACATTATCCTTTAGTGGGAATGGTTACATATAAAACCTGCCATAGAATTCTAAGGAGAACAGTTTGAAAAATCTGTCCAAATAGATATATGAGTATTGAACGAAGTGCACTACTCTCTATCTTGCTCTGATCCAAAATCCAGAAATAACATGAAAGAAATACATCTGAAAAAGAATGGGTAAGTGGTGTACAAAACGAGGGTGTTACAAATTTAAATCAGCTTTAAACTGGGGGAAATTATGCAACAAAGAACTTAAGAGAAACTATGCTAAAAGAGATTACAAATAATTTACAAAGTAGATAAATTAGTCAAAGTTATGAAGAGGAAAGGAGAGAGAAAAGTTATGTTAAAAAAGCCCTTTGTGTATTAAAGAAAATTATAACCAAAATTGGTAATAATATTCTGAATGGATCTTTCTAAAAGGAAAGTATCCCTCAACCTGTCTATCCATTTCCCTTTCCCCAGTAGATTGAAATACTATACTATTAATATGGACAATAAAACAGAATATATTTATATTAATCTATGCTTCTCAGTCTTGGAGTGTTACAGGCTTAGTTATTGAGACATCATCATCTAGATTGCCCAGGCTTCTAAAAATAAAATTGCTTAAAAGTGTATAATATTTCTCTTAATTATATTGGCATAGTAAAGCACAATACTGAATGCTTTAGAGATAGAATTGTCCTTTGAAACTCTCAAAGTAAAGCACTATTCAATTTTGATGTTGTTACTGCAACCAATCTAGGAGCCCATATATGGTATTTGCATTTGGGATATGTGGTACATCATAGTACTGTTATCTGTCTATCTATCTATCTATCTATCTATCTATCTATCTATCTATCTATCTATCTATCTCTATTTACTTATCTACCTACCTATCTCCCCTACAGCTAAGTGTATTTAAGACACAGGAATATCAATTTGGGATTAACTGCTCCAGCATAACAAAAAAAAAAAGCAGAATATACAGGGAAAGAGTAAAACTATGATATGGGGCTTCCTGGGGTTAGTATTTGACAATATGCCTTCAGCCCCAGGAATATCATTTTAGACATCCTAAAAGATGCTATGTATGTGTTCTGCCATTGAATCCAATCTGTGGGGCAGCTGACACAGGGCTTAAGGAGCTCATTGTAGGATTGAGTTATTTCTAATTGGAGTTCTTCTAATCCAAAGCTATGGATGAAGTCTTCATTCCATCCCAGAAAATTGGCTCTCCTGTGCTCACTTGAAAACCTGCAAGCATGGAACAGTCATGAGTCCAGGAGGCAGGTTGTTCCATTGCTTAATAGTTCTCCTGCTGTGTTCCTGAGAAATCCTTCTTAGTACATCATTTCTTGCTGTAAGCTATAATAACTCTAGGTTTATGATTTGAGGGTGCCTCCAGATATTGTCTCCCTTCTGTTCCATATTCAGTTTAAAGCCCACCAGATGACCTGAGCAAGATATCTTCCAAATATATTCTCTCCAGTCACAGTTCTCTTCAGAATGATTATCCGATGAGGTAGGTGGGCTGAGAAAAAAATGACTAATCTAAAACTGAATTTCCAGAGTCAGGTACGGATTGGGTAGTTAATTTTCCCAGTTTCCCTAGCTGTAGTCCAAAGCCTAACAAAATGCATAAACATTTTGTTAAATCCATATAGTTCTTCCAAAAGCTGCCACTAAATTGCAACGTTTTAATATGATGGAATAGGAGTCAGTTGGTTGATTTGGGAGATTATAGAAATTGAATACTAAACATAAATAAATATATTCTTATATACATGGGAAGTAATTAATTGCATTTGTTTTTATTTCATTTTAAGCTTCAGTTTCAGTGGAATCTATTTTTTGTTCGGGCTGCACTTACTTTTCAGCATTTGTATTCAAACACAACGTGCAACCGCCAACAAGAAAAACTGTAACCATACACACTCCTACCTTATTCACTGTACCACACTGGCTCTAACTCTAAATGGCAGTGGGATTAAAACATTGTATGCTTGAGAGAAAAATACCACAACATGGCATCTTCTGATAAAATTGAATGGTACAAAAAGCAAGTCAGATAAAAGTAAGTATTCCACATGACTACATTTTTCTATTCCACATGAATGATGGTCACCAACTTGGGTAGATTTAAATTTTAATTATACAGATTCATAGAGCAAAAATATATCAATGATTGCTAGTTTGGATGACTATATCTTACTCCCACTAGAAGCCATATAATTGTAGTTAGTGAAATCATGAAGAAATATGATAAGAACAATGTATATGTTTTTGGGCAGCTACTGAGACTCTGGCAAAATAATATGGAACTAGATATTTTTTGGTATGCTCCAACAGGCTACTTTTAATGTGATGCTATTTATGAGGCTTTTGTTATGCTTCCGATCTGGCAATAGCCCCATTCCCTGCTCTGATTTAGTTTAAAGCAGCTTTTCATGCTGAGTGTGATGTGGAAGATTACAAACAAATCCTTCTCTTCATACTCCTGGACTTTCTTACAGACTGACAATGAACAGGTTTCTTCTATATAACTGTTGCATCCAGAATCCTGTCTCAGAGTTGGTAACATCTCTTGCTATAACCTGATAGGCTAGAAAGAGAAAAATTAAATAAAAGATGACAACAGGCAAGGATACAATGCTGAGTTTTTATATGATTCTTGTAAGAGTTGTGCTGAGTCTTTGAAAACTGCCAAGCAAATCTGTCACGGTATCCAGATTGCCAATATCAGTCAATGCCATGTGTAACTTATTTTGAAGTTCCTCACATAAGTACCTCACAGCTGGGACTTTATGATGATCACGGCAGGGAAGCCAAGGACTAATTGAGTTGGAAGGCTGATATACGCTCATTCTTCCTATCCCTAAGCAGTTTTTTAATTTGTAGTTCTTATGCTAGCAAATGCCAGGAGCCTCTGATAGTTTCTCTAGGGTTCTTCAGTCAAAAGATTAGCCACAGAGGTTATGCTACTGTGAAAGACAATTTGCCTGTGAGGATAAACCTTCTGTTAAAATAAACAGCGATAGAAATCATCAACTCTGTTATCGGTTTATGGAGAGAATTAAAGAGGCACAACAGACCAGGATTCTCTGATTCTTTTTCTTAGCAAAGGTGAGATAGGGAACTGGAATCAACTATTTTTTTTTTCCCCTCATGGGAAATTCCAAATGAAAATTGCTTTTCTGAAGTTGTTATTAGCTATCAGGGATCAAAAGAAATCGAGACAATGTAACACTCTGTATTAGAGGCAATATTCCAGTCCATTTTTATGTAGTTTTTTAAAGATTCATAAAAAAGATTCTCATTTATTTTCATTTGTAACTTTTTTAAACGTAGCATACATTTGCATAACATATTTAATTATCAATGTAAACCCCATAAGATATAGTTGGTTTTGCATGAAATGTTCCAATATCATTTGCTACAAAATATTATCTGATGTAAACATTTTAAATATACATATACATAACGTCAGTTCTTTTTCTTTTTTTATATAATGCAGGACAACTTTCAAAAACACATGGATTCTTTTTCCAAATGTGACCTTCATAAGAAAGTGTCTTTTTGTGTAGATTTTTAATTGGAAGTAGACACTAAGAGTTTGGAATCTATACCACTACTGATCCCTCTGGAAAACTGCTTCCATGGCAAGTATCTTTGATACCTCTACAAGACAACCGGGGGTGGGGGAGCAGGCAGGTACAGAATAAGTACGAACAACAATGGTATTAAGTATGTTCATTAGATAATTAATGTGAGGAATGAGTGATTAAGCTATTTTCTTGGTAGGGAAAAATCAGTTTGTTTTATACATCTTTTTCCCACAGTAAAAGCTGTTGGGAAGTCTTATGATGGAACTTCCAAGTTGCAGATAGCCCAGGTGTTAGCATATGCCTTACCAATGTTACTCCATCTTCCAGTTTATCATTGGGTAAAGGGTATTCCATATGAAAAATGTATTGATCTTGAAGTGAAAAGCAGAAAAGGCAGTTAGCATTGCAAAAGTCATTCCAATGTAGACTGCTTGTTTTCTTGATAGGACAGAACTACACATGTCACTGGGAAACTATTCATGAGAAGGGACAGGGAGAGAAATACCTACAGAGCCATTCCTGCAACAGTAGCAAAACCCATTCCAGGGTACATTGTTGAAAAGGAAGCCAGAAAGTTAACTTACTATTTTTCTTGTACATCAAGATTTCAAATGAGTTCACCTCATAGTTCTCAAATGTTTGCCGAACCTTATCAATTGTGTCTTTATCTGTCAGCTCTCCATACATGAAACTGCAAGGAAATTAACAAGACAGGTGAGAATCACAAGCAAGATCTCATGGCATGACAGACTTAAATTGTATTAAGTGTTCTTTGAGTATTCTTGCTGAACTCACTTTCATGGAGAATAGGATTGGCTGGTTTATCTTATAGGCCACTCCAATCAGCAACTGGCACTGAGAGGCTTACTAACCTTGATCAATAATATTATGTATAATAACAATTTGTTGTTAAGTGAGGATATTAAATGATATTTGTCTGCTACAAAATCACATCCTGTTGGTGGGACCAATTCCCCTTTCCTCCTGTAATTCCCCAATTCTGTTCTAGAGGTTGGAAGACATTTCAGAAGAGATGTGGATAGTGCAGAGGGAAGGATAGCATGATGGAATCCCATCCTAAGTAAAAGTCTGCTTGTGTGTCTTTGGATACAGCTGATTGGAAGAAGAGACTCTTCTTTGAAAGCCATTATAGAATGAGAATGTCACAATAAATATGGTTCCTACAAATTATGTGCCTCTTTTTGCTGTGCCATTTCTCTGCATGTGTATTTGCATTCCATGTGCACTTCTTAGAAGCCATTTCTTTTCAGGGAACTAAGGAATTCAGGTTTCAAGACAAAAGACTGTGGAATGCTCAAATAGAAGATAGTTAGAAATTCCCAAAAGTGTAATTGTCCAGGATTCTTGGCAATAAGTAATGGCAATTAACATGCTATAAAACTTCATTAAGTTCACGGCAAGAGAAAGGATAAAAACCTGATTGGTGCAAAAAGGGAGCTTCAGTGGTTGTTTAGCTCAGTAGTGCTGAGAGAAGGGTGGGAAGAATCAAAGAAATGAGGAGTCAGCTAGGGCAAAGAGTTTAGCACAGCAATTTCATACTGTGTTTTATTTAGACACAGGGAATTAACTTTGCACTCTTTCTTCAAAAGTAGCAAAGATCCCAACTTCTCTTCACAGAAAACTTGTTTTAGAGTTTTGACAGTGGCAGCACCTAAATAACCTCAGATAATCTCAAAAAGTGAAAGCAAGTTCAGTATGGTTAGTACTTTGATTTTTAAAAAAAAACTATCTAGGAGTCCCATACTAACACAGCAGTAAACCTAGCTGGGTATTCAAAAATATCTTGGAAGAAAGCAAAGGCAAATCAGTTCAAGATTGTTGCAAGAAAATAACCTGAATGGGTCCATGAAGACACTGTGAAGCAAGAAACATTTTTTAATATTAACAAACCTTTTATAAAATCTGAATTCAGTTGGTAAGGGGCTAGACTGAATAACAGGGATGCACAACAAACTGGGAAGGGAAAAAAGGAAGGAGAAAATAGAAAGGGAAGGAGGGTATGTGGCATTCTTGGCACAATTTCTAACAGAGTACAAGAATGTAAAACCAGACTACATAATCAGTTCCTCAATAGTATTAAAGCAGGAGTTAATTGCAGGTATACTATCTAATACTATGGTAAAGGGTGGAACAGTAAAGAAAGAAGGGAGGTTTGACAATTCTGTTCAAAAATCTAGGTCAGAAATTCATCTGAGTAACATCAACATATATACATTAAGAACCATATGACACATATGAGCCATAAAAGCTGGGTATGTAGGGGGTTGTGATTTAATATATGATGGGCACTAAATTTTGAAGGTTGGGTTACAAGCATGACTTACCAATCGGAAATCAAGACTTATTGCAGATTATATCTTAAGAAAATTTGGATTCAAATCCTAGCTCAGCCCTGTAGCTTGCCACAAAATGTGGGCTGACCAAATGAGAGCCAATTTGGTGTAGTGGTAGGCACCAGGATACTGTGAGTTCTAGTCCTGCCATAGGAACAAAGCCAGCTAGGTGATCTTGGGCCAATCACTCTCTCTCAGCTCAGGAAGGAGGGAAGATCAAATGACTTCCAAAATCTTGTCAAGAAGTAGCTGCCAGGAGTCAAGATTGACTTGAAGATGCTTACACAATTTGCTTTAGATGGGAACACTTTATATGTAAGCTTTTTGGAAAATAGAAGGGATTCAGAATGCCATTTCCTCCCTGATCTTGACAGTACCCATTCTGTGGTTTAAAATCCAAGGGACTCATTTTGCATGACCAAGAATACAGAAATATTACCAGTTACTTTACAGAAATATTATCAGTTATTTACAGAAATATTTAACAGAAGCCTCCACTGAAATACCTGCAGGTGCTGCTCTTTTGCATAACTTCTGCTCGGTGGTATCCTGACAGCTTGCAGAATCCATCGTTGCTATATACAACGGGCCAATCCACTATCTGCGCATTACCCAGGACAAAATTTGTATCTGTTTGAAACAATAGCTCTATTAGACAAAGGAGCTCTGTGGCAAATTGATTATACAATAGACTCTTCCTTGTTCTCTTCTCTAGGTCAAATATTATCTGGCACAAAAGAGCTAGAGAAACCTGGTAATCTCACTCTTCCCTGCATATGCCCACCTCGGAGATTAAGAATACTCATCCTGACAGATTTGCTTTCATTCCAGCAACTAATGGCCAAATTAGATATGACATTAATTGCCTGAACACAATCACCATGTATGTTTCTTTTTTAAAAGAACATTAGAGTAACTGCAGAGAGTGGAGAAAGAGATTGATTAACCCCTTTCATTCCTGTCTGGGTTTTGATCAAATTGCTATTTGTATCTGCAGTTCAGAGTTTCAATTTTCCTTGAGGGAAACTGAACTGATAATGAATTAATGTTTTGACATTGTCACTGTGCTTTCACTTGCCTTGCATATCTGTGGGTATTATTGATATGTAGCTCTCCCCACTTCATGGTGCTATGCAGGCATGTGCAACGAGAAAACCTGACACTGAGTAAATCATTCTGATACAGGCTAAAAGCCTATCCTAAGCTTAGCAGACCATCTGAAGAGTAGTTGACTTTAACAGAGCACCGTCAAGAAACTGGCTTGTGCAGCATAGCTTTTCCCCTGACAGCTGACTTTATAAACTGTTACAGGAGATCCTGGGTTACTGTGGAAACTAAGAAGTGGTTCCTCAGTGGGAAGATTGGTAAATAATATTAATAAGAATAAGGAATAAGAATAAATAAAATAAACTTCTCTAAAAGAGACCTGGTCATCAAAAGTCAATCTTCTCCTATAACCAACAATTTAGAGGAAGCATGGGATCAGAAATTATTTTATTTTCTACAAAATGAAATGAGGACCCACATATACGTAAAATATTCCATGCCTCATGGCCAGTTGGAATCTCCTGCCATAATTTCCATGCTCTTGACCTAATTTGTAGGCTTAATATTTCTGAAGTGTACCCATCCTCTTTTTTGTCTTTTCGCATAATTACTCACAGCTGATTGCAGATGTACGTATGTCTTATTTTAAATTAATTAAATGAGGCTGGACAGCAAGTATGGTGATATTATAAGTACAAATTTGCATGATGCCAGAGTCTATTTTTGTAGGAAAATAATATTAGAAAAAGGAAGCAAAAAGAAAACTAGAACCTATAAAAGCAGCAGGAATGATGAATTTACATATCATGATTTAATTCATCTATGACCATTTAATATAATTAATGTTAATTAAATAATATAACTTTGTACATGTGAAACAAAATAATTAACAAAGGTAATCGCCACAGCATTTTTCTCTAGTTATTAGTGAATAATAGGATTAATGTGAAAATGCTATTTTTTTAAAAAAAAATATATTTACATTTTTTGATCTTGTAATGAATTTCTGATATTGACCTTAAAAAATAATTTTTCAATCTTTCCCCAAACTCAAACCACTGTATTCCCAGCCAATTTTGTCAAGGAGATCTGAAGCTGAACTAGCAGATTGGCTGCTTTTGAGTCCAGGTTCTTACTCTTCCCACTTTGGCATGAATTTATATTGCACAGTCAAGAAATTAATGCCTTCATGACTGGAATTTAGGCTCAAAGTCTCATGCCCTAAATCACCATTCAGAGAATAGGAAATTCTGATGGCTATGGCAGGAGCATAGTGGCCTTATGCCATCACCTAGTTTGACTTGGATATGCAGCTATTCATAAAATGTGAGACCATCTAACATGAAGTCACTGAAATCCACAATCCTAGCTGCACCTCTAAACCCAATTATAGTACAATTCTATTTAGGTGTTTGGCAGTCCATGTATTTGCTGCAGAATATTTGTAAGTACTGCCAGAAATGTTTATCCATATGATGGCAAGAGTATTAACTAAGCCATAACCATTGTAAGAAGGCATGGTCAGCAATTAACTGAACCTGTTGCTTAACAGCACTCTGATAATTTGCCCTGTTCTATAGCTAGTGTGAAAAATCATGTGTTGGCAGCATGATCTTTTCAGGAAACAAAGGCAATATGATGTACATCAAGCATGACCAATATTAACCAGCAATATCATTCTCTAGAGATATTATCTTGAATTTCAAAGTCATTGACAGAATGTAGCACATGATGTCACATTTTCCATGGTTACATCTTGTTCTGTCACTGAACTATTATATGCAACATAGCAGTGACAACCTATAAATTATTACAGAATGTATGCCCTCACACTATATCCTTTCATATATATGCATATGAAGGATTTCTGAAATGTTTCTTTATTCACAGGATCAAAAAGGGGGAGGAAGTCCCTCTCAATGAAGAGGGCTGTTTTCTCCTCTTTATCAAATATTTTAACAACTTAAGAATCACTAGGCTGCCTAAGTTCTTTTTCTTTTTTTCAATTCTGTGATACCTAATAGATAGATAATGATCTCTTCCAAAGTCGAAATAAGAATTCTTATATTTTGTTGCAAGCTTAATTCCAACCAACAGCAACAATTAATGAAGATCAAACAGTCCTGAGATTTAAAAAAAATCTAAAGACAATTTATTAATTTGCGGAAAAGGTGGAAAATTGTTAACAAAGCAAGGCAATTGTTACTTCTGGACAGATACAAGTAAAGAAAGGCTTTATGTATTGTGATCTTTTATTATATTAGTACAACACTAGAAGAGGATATGAAACTCTTCCCAAAGATCAGGTCACCATTTCCCAAAATAAGACTTATAAAACCTGTTCCTGCTTTGGTTTGTTCACTGTTCAATTTTAGGTGATAAATTTGATGAGATAACATGCTTTCCAATATCACAAGGCTGATGTTGTTTCCAGAAATTAATCAATACAACCTCACCTTTCTGTTAAATAGATACTGAATGTGCATACGCTACTTGATAATCATAAACATAAATAACCATCTTGGCTTATGTAACAATTTATTGTGTTTCAATGGTAGCCAATATAAGCAGTATACATGCCAGGAGTTATATTTCTAAATGTATGCAACATCAAGATCCTTGCAATGCAACAGTTATTCCTATAATTGGGATAGCATACAAATTGATATAACTAAAGCTGCATTATGCTACATCAGATTATTTATCTCAGTATTGTTGACAATATATGATTGGGCAATGAGTTTAATATCAAGCAAAGTGAGGGTGTTCACAATAAATTAAGCCTAGGGCCATTTGTGTATCACTAGAGAAGCCATTAAAGTATTTCTGGCTGATAGTTTGGTATCAGTATCAACTCCCCAGATGGGAGCTCCTAATATTCAAACTCCTTGCAGGAATATCTCCTTGCTTGAAAGCTGCAAATGAATTTGGGGAATAGACCAAGAAGGAGCAAAGGGGAGCAAAATACAGCAATATCAGAAAAAGAGTTATCTAATGGGTGCTGGTTTTTTTTCAGTAGATATATTTAGCTCTATAAACAGTTTTCCTCAGATAAACTCTAGATGGTTTTTTTTTTTCACTTTCTAGACAGTGTTAAAAAAAAAAGTTGTTGGGGATTTCTTTCAGTCATTTTTAGCCCTGATCCCAGTGCTAAAGCAGTGGAGAAAAAGCAGTCAAAGCGGTTTGTGCCTATAAATGCAGCGTACTAAAACACTGCAGAGAAACTCTATAAGGAATGTTTAGCCAAGATCAGTAGAACTACCATCCAGTACTAAAAAGTAGTTCCAAGACCAGCAATAATAGGTTTCATTTAACAAACTAAAGGTAGTCAAGCAACTTGGAACCTTCTGCTAAATCCCAAATGTCGTCTGCAAGAAATTGGCTTGGATTGACAAAGCCTCAAAGCCTACTAGGTAGAGAATAACTCAAGCGGAAAAAGAAAAATCAGTTTGAGAATAAGGTAAATGGATAGGAAATCAAGAAAGGGGAAAAGGACCACTGCTCATTTTTGCTTAGGGCCTTACCCACTGTCAACATGCAGTTTGAATAGATTCATGAGGGAAGTTTTTCAGCCAGTCAACTACTGTAGAAATTGGGTTCCACACAGATAAAATATTTCAAAGCAAATGGCTTGTTAAGCCTATGGGGAGGGCTTCCAAGTAAAAAGAGCTGAGAGTCAAAATTGTAATCTTTCCCGGAAGTGGCTTAACATGTTTATAGTGACAAAGATGCAGGCATAAGATTTTTATACAGTTCTACATTGCTATTCCTGATTTCATTTTTGGAAAAATAAAAATATTATTCATAAGGAATCAGATAGACATCTATTGCTATCATCAGCAGGTTTACTAAGAGAAAGACACAAATCAGGGAAATTGGAACATTAAGTTTTATAAACTTTCCTCTCCCCAAAACTAAGAATACCCTGTTTTTCTCATGCAAAAAGCATGCAAAATTCAATCAAACACAACTTTAGTGATGTATATCCACTGATTAAATTCATTTACAACTGTTAGAAATAACTTTATGTACCCGTTGCTGTGAAATATGATGACAATATAACAGCAGGACATTTTAACTTATAACTCCTGCATTGTTATATCTCTTCACTTTTGCTTCGCTTGTTACAGCATTTTCCACTAACAATAAAGTATGTTTAGCTTTACTATAATTAATACTTCAAACAAGTTCTCTCAAATTGTCTTCATGCAATCCAAATCCTATAAAGATTAGACTCCTATTAGCTGTCTATATGATTCCACTAATTTAGGCTGCAAGAACTGGAATACTAAAAAGGCAATACTACAAGTGATTCTTGAGATAACCAACAGTAGTTGTGACCAGAATTTTCATCGCTAAGAGATGCGATCGTAAAACACAATGTCATATGATCACATTGTTTAGCAACAGGAATCCCGGCAGTCCCAGTTGATGTCGCTAACTGAATCACACTAGTTGTTAGGCAAGGACCTACCCCAATCCAAGTCATTCAGGACCTGATCCCTCCCAGCCCCAAGCCTCAGTAAAAGCCAAAAGACTGCCTCCTCTCAACTCCCCCTGTCCACTTATCTCCCCCTCCATCT